CGCGCCCCGCGGCTGCCGAGTGCTCGAGCCGCACGGTGGGTCCCCGCGCCCGGTGCGCGGAGGCGTGCGGATGCCGTGCCGCCCTCGCCCGCGCAGGCGGGCGCGGTTCGGGCTTGCCCCGGGGGGCGAAGGCGGGGGAGAGGTGGGGGGGGAGAGGTAGGGGGGGAGGGGAGGGGGAGGGCAGGGGGGGAGAGACAGGGGGAGAGGGGAGGAGGAGGAGGAGGAGGCAGGGGAGAGGCGAGGGGAAGGAGGAGGGGGAGAAGGAGAGGGAGGAGAAGCGGAAGGGGGAGAATGAAGGAGGCCTGCAGGAGCAGGAGGAGGCCTGGAGGAGGTCTACGGAGAGGAGGAGGGGGAGGGGGGAGGGCACGAGGGATGAGGCAGGGCATGTGGAGGAAGAAGGACGTCCCCCGCGAGGAGGAGGAGGAGGAGGAGGAGGAGGGGGAGGAGGAGGAGGACGAGGAGGAGGAGGAGGATGAGGAGGAGGAGGAGGAGGAGGAGGAGGAGGAGGAAAAAGAGGAGGAGGCGGAGAAAGAGGAGGAGGAGGAGGAGGAGGATGCCCTCGGGCCGCGGTAGCACCCCGGCGCGGTCAAGCAACCGGCCCGCTGGGCGAACGGCTGCCGCGCCAGGGGTGCCGGACGTCACCGCGGTGCGGTCCGTCCTCCCTCCCGAGGAAGAGGCGAGGAGAAGTGGGGGGGGGGGCGAAAAGGAGTGGCGGGAGGGGGGGCAGGGCGGGGCGGGAGGGGGAGGAGCACGGCGAGGCAGGGGCGAGAGGAGGAGGGTGGGCCCGCCCCCGCCGGGCCGCGCCGCGCAGGCGTTGGCCGGTAGCCGCGCAAGGCCACGTCCCCCGCGGCTCCCACGAAGCCCCCCTGACGACGGCCCGGGCACCCCCGACGCGATCCCCGAACCCGCCCCGACGCCCGCCGGGGAGGCGGCCAGGCGCGCTTCCGGCGCAGGAAATCACGGGCGATTTTTTGCCGAGTTGCCAATGACTCGGCAAAAAACCGCTCGGGACATTCGCACCAGAATGGCCTCCGACCCGCCGCCGGGCGGCGTCCGAGAGGGTCCGGCGGGGGGGGGGAGCCTTTTTTACATTGGCTCGTCCCTCAATGCGTGCACCACTGCAGCCGCGATGGCGCCGACGAGCCTCACCTTCGCCTCCAGCTCGCGCACGTCCGCCGCGTCGCCGAGGGCCCGCGCCGGCAGCCCTGATGGCATGGGCGGCTGGCAGGAGCGCACTTCCTGGCGCGGCCCAGCGACGGCCGAGCAGGTGGCCAGGAGGTGCTGGAGGCCCGATTCGACGCCCCCGCGCAGCGGGCAGGGCGCCTCGGGCGGGGGCGGCGGCAGCCCCCGCGTCCAAGTGGGGGCGTCGTTCGAAGCTCGCGCCGCGGACCAGGCGCGGCGGAAGCGCCACGTGGCGCGGCCCCAGGGCGCCCGGCGGAGTGCCTGCGGCCAGGGCTGCCGGAGGGGCAGCAGGTCTGCGAGGGAGACGAGCCCGTCGTCGCCCAGACGCGCCGCCTGCTCCGTGAACCGCTTGGCTTCCGCGGCCTCGAGCAGGGGGTCGACCGTCCTGCCGACCCATGCGCGCACGGCCGCCCGGCGGGCCAGGCCCGTTGCCCCTGGCGGGGCAGTCGGCCAGGCGTTGACGCCCAGGTCCCGTGCGATGCGTTCCGCGTGGCCCAGCCATGCGTCGCCGCCCGCCGCCGCCAGCGCCGCCCCGACGGCCGGCGCCGCGGGCGAGGTCGGGGGGGGGGGCAACGGCAAGCGCGTCCAGGCCAGCACGACCCGCCGGGTCAGCCGAGATCCCGCCCGCGCGAGCAGCTTGGTCTCGAGGAAGGCGCGCACCTGGCCCCCCGTGCCCAGGGATAACCGCGCCGCCGGCCCCGCCAGGAGCAGCTTTGCCACCTCGTAGGCGCGGTTGAGGCGGGAGAGCACGCCCGACCACCTCGCCGCGCAGCTGGCGAGGAGCTCGGTGCCGAACAGGGCGGCCGCCTCCACTCGCACGGGCAGCTGAGCCACCTGCGTAGGCGCGCCGAAACCCAGGTCGGACACGGCGGTGAAGAGCTTATTGGCGCCACCGCGAATCATGGCGCACGCTCGGTCGAGGATGGGCTGGAGGGAGAGGGCCTCGTCGATCGGGGCCCCCACTCTGATGAACGCGAACACTATAGAAGGAGGAGGGGGAGGAGGAGGAGGAGGAGGAAGAGGAGGAGGAGGAGGAGGAGGAGGAGGAGGAGGAGGAGGAGGAGGAGCAGGAGGACGAGGCGGAGAGGCGGAGGAGGAGGAGGAGGAGGAGGAGGAGGAGGAGGAGGAGGAGGAGGAAAAAAAGGAGGAGGCGGAGGAGGAGGAGGAAGAGGAGGAGAGGAGGAGGAGGAGGAGGAGGAGGAGGAGGAGGAAGAGGAGGAGGAGGAGGAGGGGGAGGAGGAGGAGGAGGAGGAGGGAGGAGGAGGAGGAGGAGGAGTAGGAGGAGGAGGAGAGGAGGAGGAGGAGGAGGAGGAGGAGAAAGAGGAGGAGGTGGAGGAGCAGGAGGAGGAGGAGGAAGAGGAGGAGGAGGAGGAGGAGGAGGAGGAGGAGGAATTGGACGAGGAGGAGGAGGAGGAGGAGTGGCAGAAGGAGGTGAGGAACATGCAGGAGGTGTGCCAGGAGGGTGAAATAGCGAAGCAGGAAATCGATCTGGCGACCGGGCAATTCGGTCTCGAACGGGGATATTTTCTTTGGCGGGCAGGGAAATTCTAGACGCTTCGCGTATCCCCGCGTGGTGGACTGGCGCCGCGGCGTACAGTTGGGAATTCCCTGGCACTTTGCCACAGGTCTGCATGATGCTCGAGCTTCCCTGGGCGTTGCAGTTCAGCCAGTCAGCCCCCCGCCGCCGCTGCCGCAGCTGCTGCCTCTGAGGGCTGGCCCGGCCGGCTTGCGCTGCGCCTTGTAGCTAGTTCGGCTTGCCCGTTGGCCCGGACTTCCTTCTCGCCGCCTGCGCTTTCGCTTGCGGCTGCGACCTTTCAAACAAAACGTATCCCCACCAGCAGGCCTGGCTAGTGTTCGGACGGCTTTCGACTTGCTGCGCGAGCCCGCAGACCAAAACGTATCCCCACCAGCCCATCCAGAAACGATGTCGAAGCGAGTTGAGAGGTGATCAGGGAAGTGCGGGAGCAAAGAAGGGGACGGCCGAAGGCGAAGGAGAAAATTTGATGGCAAAGCATGTGGGACACTGGCTCTTGTTGCTTTGCACCTTTTTGAACTTGTTCGGCGCGGGGACTGTGCCAGCGGTTCACTGCGCAGTGGAGTAACGCGCTCGAAGCATCTTGCGCTATCCGGCTGATGGAGCAAAGCCAGACCCCGAGGACCTGCGCGGCGACAGCCGGCCCGCGTGCGCGCGGCCGCCGCGCCCCGCCAAACAGAGGATGTATGTTCGTGTTTTTTTTTTTTTCTTTCTCACGCAGTGCAGTGCAGCATCGGTCCCTTGAGGGACGCTCTCGAGCCACTTTTCGACCTTCCGCGGCAGTCAGAGGTGGCGCAGCTCGATGGCCACGTTAGGGGTTGCGCCGCAAGCGTGGGAGAGCCGCCGTCTGACATGGAACGTTCACGTCGAGCAACGTATCCTGTGTGAGAAGGGTTCTCGCCTCCAGCTGCCTCGTGTGGGAAACGTGCGTTCTTCCATTTGCGTGTCCCCCATCAACATTCACTTGATTGGGGCTGTCCGGGGGGGCACTGCATCAGGCTGCCTTTTCCCGGCCCCTTCTGGTCCCAGCGTGTCATCGCAGCCTTGGACAGGTGGTTTTGGCCTGCCAGAGAGCATTTTTTTCGCGGTCCAGGAGAGCCACTGCCAGACGTGTTGGCCCGCACGCCTCTGGGTACCGGCCTTTCCGTAGCGGGTCCTCAGCGTTGCGACGAGGCTCTGCCCAGGTGTGCCCCAAGCAGCGGCGGCATCGCCTTCAGCAGGCGTGCGCTCGGGGCTTGTGAGGGACCGGAGGGGCTTTCTGGTTTCTGACACCGCCGTCGTTGCTCTGTCCAGGAGCGCCGCTGAAAGCGGCAAGCGCGGGATTGCTGGGGGTTCCGCCGGAATCCTGGTGAGGCTCAGGGGAGGCCCGCTGGTTTCAGACCCCGCCATTTCTACCACGTTCGGCCCGCTGGTTTCTGACATCGCCAGGGCCCACCGTGTCTCCAAGCACGCTACCGGGTGAACAGACACTAGCCTCCGACAGGTCACAACTGAGAGTGCAGCGGATTGCCGCGATAACGGGTGTGAAGCTACAAGGTTCGGCCCGCTGGTCTCTGACGCCGCCATTGCTGCCAGGTTCAGGGGTGCCACGAAACGCGGCAAGAACGGGAGAGAGGAATGTTCCTTCTGAGCCCTGGTGAAGCTCAGGGGAGGCCCGCTGGTTTCTGATTCCGCTATCGCAACCAGGTTCGGCCCGCTGGTCTTTGACACCGCCATGGCAACCAGGTCCAGGGGATATGGAGGTTCCATCAGGGCCCTGGTGATGCTCATGGGAGGCACCGCCATCGCTGCCATGGTCCGGGCCCCCTTCCTCCCCCCTGGGGGGTGCGGGGGGCGCCGCGAAAGATGGCAGTGGTAGTGAGAGAATCGGCGTCCTGACCTCGATCGGGCCCGCGCGGGCGCGACGTCGGCGAGGGGGGGGCGAAAAAAACGGGCCCCCCCGAGCCTCCCTCCTCTCCTCCTTCCTGCCTCCCCGTAGTGCCGCGAAGTGTGGCAGTGGACAATAAAACTGAGCGATCCCGCGCGTCGGGCCCACGCGGGCGCAACGCGGGGGGTTCGCCAGCGAGAGAAGAGCCGTGTGAGGGTCTTGGAGAAACGGCAGTCGATTCCTCGGGAGCCGTGATTTCGTGGGCCTCCTCCACCACTTCCTCTTCCTCCTCCTCCTCCTCCTCCTCCTCCTCCTCGTCCTCCTCCTCCACCTCTTCCTCCTCCTCCTCCTCCCCACATCGTCCGCGTCCATAGCGAAGACTTGGGCCCTGCCCCCCTTCACCTCCACTTTCGCCTCCTCCGCCTCCGTGTCGGCGAACTGCCCCTCCTCCCGCACCTCCCTCGCCTCCTCGCAGCCCTCCTCGACGCCCTCCTCGATGCCGGGGTTCCGCAGATGCTGGCGTCGATGCTCTCGGCAGCGCTGTCGAGGATACAGGCGTCGCCAGAGCAGCGTCGTGCGCGTCGTTCCCCTCGCCACCTGCGACGGCCTTCCCCGCGTCTGCTAGGCCATTCTGCTCGCCTCCTCCTCCGCCTCCTCCTTCCTCGCTTGTCCGTCTCACCAACTGCTCAGCCGCCGTCGCGACACCGACCCGTAGGCGCGAGAAGGAACGAGGGGCACATCGGGAAAACGAGACGGGAGCGGCAAACGGCTCTCTTGGCGGCGCCGGATCCAGGTCGACGGATGGGTGACCAGCGGTACGGACTGTCCTTTCTCCGGGGGTCCTCCTGGGACCCTCGTCCCTCATCCACCTCCCCCATCCAACTCCACGCGAGTGGGCGTGCGTTCGGGTGCGCCTTCAGCCGCCAGCGTGGCTCCGTATCCATATGTGGGTGCGCGTTCGGCCGCGCAGCAAAGCGCCGCCGCGGTGCCGAACCGCGCGTCCTCAGCCGCCGCCGCCGCCGGCGGGGAGCCGGCAGCAGCAATAGCGGCGGCCGCGGCAGCAGCTGAGGCTGCAGCCAACGAAGCCGCGCCAGCCGGCGCGGTGGCGGCGAAGGCGGCCGCGAGGCCTGCAAGGGCCGCCTCAGCCAGGGGTCCCTTGGAGGCGGCTGCGGCGGCGGTGGCGGCCGCAGCAGTGGCGGCGAGTGCGCTGGGGGTCCGGCGGCCGTTGCAGGCCGCCGGCGGCGGCGGTAGCGCCAGCAACGATAGGGGCGGTCGAGGGCTGGGCAGCCGCGGCGCCGCCGCCAGCCCCCGCCGCTCGCGTGCCAGCCTCTGGTGGGGGGGCGGCAGCGGCAGCAGCGTCAGCACCGCCAGAGGCGGCCGGGCGCCGCCGCCGCCCGCCGCCGCGCGCGCGCCAGCCTCCAGGGGGGAGGCGGCAGCGGCAGGAACGTCAACAGTAGCTGGGGCAGCCGCGGCCGGGGCGGCCGAGCCGCCGCCGTCGGCCGCCGCCTCCCGCGCGCCGGTTTCCGGGGGGGAGGCGGCGGTGGCGCCAGCAGCAGCAGCAGCAGCAGCAGCAGCAGCAGCAGCAGCAGCAAGGAGCGGGCCCAGGCCGGGCGGCCCGTCGCGGGCGGCGGCGGCCAGGCGCTGGCGCCGCCGCAGGGCGGCGCCAGTGAGGCCGCCGGCGCCGGGAGCCATCGCGGCGGGGTCCGGGTTCGGCCCGTGCATGGACCAGGGGTGTGCTCGAGCCGAGACGGTTTGAGCCACAGAGGCTACGGTGCCAGGAAGGAACATGTAGTTTGAGAGGAATTTTGACAGGATGTCCTAGAGTTGGGCCAGGAAAGAACATGGAGTTAGAGAGGAGTTTGGAGAGGACATCCCAGAATTAAAGGGAATTCTGGCCATTCGGGGCCAGGACGGACAATTGAGTTAGAGAAGAATGTGGAAGTCCGAGAGTTGGAGAGGTTTTGGCCATTCTGGACCAGACGGAAATGGAGTTCGAGAGGAATTTGCATAGGAAGCCTTAGACTTAAAGAGGATTCTTGCGGTTTGTGAAGAGGAGCGACCTTGAAGTTGGAACGGAATTTCGATAGGACGTCCTGGAGTAAGAGAGGACTATTGCCATCCAGGGCCCGGACAGAACATAGAATTTGAGAGGAATTTAGATAGACAGTTCCAGAGTTTGGTCGGATTCCGGTCATTCGGGGCCAGGAAGGAAGTTGGAATTAGACAGGAATTTCGATAGGACGTCCTAGAGTTAGAGAGGATTCTGGCCATTCGGGGCCAGGAAGGAAAATGGAGTCATATACGATTTTGAAGTGGAAATCTGAGAGATGGAGAGGATTGTTTCTATTCGGGGCCAGGGCGGAAAGTGGAGTTGGAGAAATATTCAGCAAGGTCATTCTAGAGTTAGAGAGGATTCTGGCCATTCCGTGCCAGGAAGGAAAATGGGATTAGAGATGAATCCAAATGGGAAATCAGAGAAATAGGATTCTGGCAATTCGGGGCAGGAAGGAAAATGGAGCTCGGGCAGAATAGGGCGGAACTTAGGGAGGACATCCTAGGGTTAGGGGAGGATTCTGGCCATTCGGGGCCAGGAAGGAAACCGGAGTTAGGGGAACACGAAGATGGGAGATGGGGAGGCGGGGAGGCGCGGGCCGACCATTCATCAGCGGTCCCCGTGCGTGCGCACCGGCGGTGGGCAGTTGAGCTCTGTGTGGTCCCTCAAGGGACGAGACGTCGGTCTGGTACCAGCAGGCTTGTACCGTCCTACTTCATGGTCTTGCGTCGTTGCTTTTGCTCGCTCGAGGCTTCTGGATACGCCAGGGGCCCACCCAAAGAGCCCAGAAGTGTAGAAGCACCTCAGACATGTGTGTCGGAGCCTTTGCGGAGAAACGTCTGGCGAGGAGCGGCAGCAGAAGAGGAGGTGAGCACGAGGGCGGGAAGGGACGCCCAGACCCCCAAAACGTGGTGGAGGCCCATGGCAAGAAACACCCTGCTTGCCTCCAGGGTGGCCTGGGTTTCTTGGGCTTCGATGGTTTTGCCATGGAAAGCGTGACGTTCCCACGCCAAAAATCCAGGGACGCCCTGGGGTCTCAGGGTTGGGTTTCTTGTGGAAGGTTTCTTGTGGGCTGGCTTCCACTCTGCTCTCCCACCGCGTGGACCCCGCAGGGGTCGACCGTCGACCCCCGCACCCGTCCAGGGGTGCACTCTGACTAGAATCTCGAAGGGAATCCATAGCCCCCGGAGGTTTTTCAAATCAGGGCACATCGGGGCTCAAGAGACGGGGGTCAATGCAGATGGGTCAGCCACGGCGCCAGATCTTGCAGGATCCTGTCGAGCCAGGGGCGCACTGACCCGGGCACGGGCGCAGCATCCTGCAGGATTCTGGGGGGTCTCGCAGATTCCTGCAAGGTCAGACTGGCCCGGGTTTTCGTTGACCCGGGTCAGTAGGGCCCCGAACGAAGCATGGCAAACTTGGAGGCTCGCCTCGTCCTTTGCCTCCCGCCAGGCGCCTCGGCAGCCTGGCCGCCAGCGCGCGCGGGGCCCGCTCCCCTCGGGGATGCTGCCGGTGCCGCCCGACGGAGCAGCCGCCCTTGCACAGGGCGGCGGGGGCGCGGTGGCAGCTGGCGCCGATGGCGGCGTCGTCATCGTCTTCGTCGTCGTCGTCGTCGTCGTCGTCGTCGTCGTCGTCGTCGTCGTCGTCGTCGTTATCGTCGTTATCGTCCTCGTTGGCGCCGTCTGCGTCGGCGTTGGCGTCGGCTTCAAGGAGGCGGCATTTTCATAGGTCGTGCCTCAGGAGGCCCTCGCCGGGCCCCGGGAACCTTCAAAAGCCAGCCCACGGCGCGAAGCCTATACGTATGATGCCATGGTCAGAAGCTCCAGACTGAGGACGTCGGAGTCGTGATTGTTTTCGGGCACTTCTCCTTGCACTGGAGACCCATGGCAAGAAACACCCTGCTTGCCTCCAGGGTACCCTGGGTTTCTTGGGTTTCGATGGTTTTGCCATGGAAAGCGTGACGTGCCCACGCCAAAAATCAAGGGACGCCCTGGGGTCTCAGGGTTGGGTACCTTGTGGAAGGTTTCTTGTGGGCCAGCCTCTACTGTATACGTATGGATGCAGTGGTCACGAGCTCCGCACTGAGGACGTCGATGTCTTGATTGTTTTCGGGCACTTCTCCGTACTTTGGATGGAGTTCTGGTGTCGTGGCCAGTGGGATGTCGTCCCCGGGCCCCGTGCGAGTGCCTGCAGAGTTCGGGCCTCCGTCGTGGCGTGTCTCGGGCCTTGAGCCCCTGAGCCATCAAGCATTCTTTAGGATATTCGTAAGCATCGTGTCGTGTGAAAGGCATCGCTGAGCACAACTTTAAGTCGGGCCTGTGCCTCTACAGGAGGAGTATTCAAAAACAGTAAAATAACAGTCAGCGGACGATTATCAGACTATTTTTGATTATTGGTGAATATTTTTTGGGTATTTCCCATTTTTCGTCCAAAATCCGCCTGTAGGGGGGACACGCCCGACCTAGTCAGCTTTCTGCCAACAGCGATAGCAGCGCTATGTGCGCCGGGAGCGAGCCGACACCCTCTGGAAATGCTTTTTGGCAGCAGTGCTGGCAGTAACGCTTGTAGCGCGAGTTGCTCTGGACGCGAGCCTGTACGCGCGCGGAGCGAGGTTCCTGCTCACCACGCAAGCTAGCATGTTCGGACAGACCTTTCTGGCAGCAGCATTTCCAGCGCGATGCGCGCCTCGGAAAGGGCCGTCGCTTTCGGAGTCAGCCTGGTGCTACAGAGCGTTTGCAGCGTGGTGTGTTCAGGGAGTGAATTAGCACGCTCCGAGTGAGCGTCCCAGCAGCGACGCCGGTGTCGCAGTGTGCGCCAGGAGCGTGATGGCACGCTCGGGCCAAGTTTCCTGCCGACGGCGCTGGCAGCGCGATGCGCGCGCTGGTCGCGGGCTGTGAAGCGCTCGGAGCGGGCTTCCTGTAACAACGCGATGTGCGCCGGACCCGAGCTGGCACGCCTGAAGTGTCGGGGGCAACGATGGGGGGGGATAGGCATAGGGGGGATGCATCGACCCCCAATCGCCCATTGATCGCCGACGGGCCCGATAGCCCCAACCTGCACAGCAAGGTGCGGATTCACTATCGGGGGCCCATCGCCGATCTAGCGGCGATGTATCGCCGATTCCAGGCAGATGCATCCCCCCCTATGCCAGTCCCCCCTATCGTTGTCCCTGAAAGTGCTGCCTGCCCACACAGTGTGGGCAACGTGACGGGATTCCTGCCCACATGCTTGCCACGCGATGGGCGCGAGCTGGCACGCCTGCAGTGCGCTTCCTGCCCACAATGCTGGCAACGCGATGGGCGCCAGGACCAGGGCTGGCGCTCTCGGAGTTGGCTGACTGGTACTTATCGCTGGCAGTTCGCAGAGGTTCTCGAAGAAGGTCGCCGTCGCCGAAGTTCCCGCCGTCGTCGGAGTCGTGATCGTAGTCGTGATCGTGATTGTCATCCTCGGCCGCGGCCTCGTCCTCCTTCCTTGTCCTCGGAGGCGGGGACTGTATGGGGGGGAGGGCCACAGAGGTTCGAGAAGATCCAGCCGTGGCCACGAGGGCGCTCCATGGGAGTTCCAAAGAGGGCCGAACACGTTCAAAACGAGGTTCTGATTCGGCTGTCGAGGCAGAGGAGCATGGTGAGGACCTCAGGATCGAGGAGAGGAAGAGGAGGAGCACGCGGAATGGGTGCGGTGGAATCACATGAGCCGGAGGCGGAGAAGGAGGAGGAGGAGGAGGAGGAGGAGGAGACGCAGCATAATGAGGAGGCGGATGTGGAGGGTTGACTACACGTAAGAGTGGCCCTTAGCCAGAGTGACCCTGATGCGAGGGTCCATTGCGGCCCCCCGATCGTTGAATGGGATGTGCTGGATGCGACAGCAGCGGCTTGTGCGCTTGCGTTCTGACCCCTTAATATCGCGCGCCGAATCGTGTCGCCCTGTCTGCACGGATGTGTGGTCGAAGTTTGGCCAGGCTCGCAGGCCAACCCCGCTAAATAGCCGGGAGCAGGAAGGCTGCTCACCCGCACGAGTGTTGGGTTCACGTGGCCCGCTCCCACCTTCTCCCTCCACCCGAAGAGGCGCACCGAAGGTCACTGTTGCCGAAGGGTCCCCCCTGCGTTCAGGGGCATCGGCGGTGGGGGACAGGCTGAGGGTGGGATGCATCGACCCTCAGCCGCCCACTCATCGCCGATAGGGGCCGGATACAGCAGCCGGCCCCGCCCAGGATCGTGCGGTGCCGCCAGCCGCCAGCGGGGGCCTCACGCCTGTTCATCGCCAGTCCACCCCCTTCAGCCGGCCCCCCACATCGTTGGGCCTCGCTCCTGCGGGCAGCCCGGAGGGGGAGCCCGGAGTCGGCGTCACCCCAACATGCCAGTACCATGTGTGCGTCGCCCCCCAGGGGCGACGCGCGCACCGAGAAGTCTCATATTACCTGCGTCGTGGCGGGCGCTTTCTGGCAAGGCCGCTCGGAAAACGACATCCTACAAGATGGGTATCATAGATGTTCGGGTCGGACGCGCGCCTCCAAGGAGGACATCTAGGATTAGTATGTCCTTGTGCGTCCCATGGGAGTGTCTTGGAGGCCTCTTTGGGCCCTCTTGAGGCCCTCTCGGCGTCCTCTTGGGCCCGGGGCCTCTTGGGGACCTCTTGGGGACCTCTTGGGGCCCTCTTGGGGCCCTCTTGGGCCCTCTAGTCGGACCGGACGAAAGGGAAAGGGGTGGTTACGGAAATCTGCTGCATGCAGCTGGTTTCGGCCCCACCGAGGGTCCCATTCCTCGATACGTGGCCGCCTCCAGCGCTGGGAGGCGCTGGGAAAATCAGCTACGTGAGCTGATTCTCAAACCCCCCCTTTGCTATCCCCCCCTTTCGCCCAGCCCGATACTAGCATATGTCACCTGTGCGCCCCACCCGCAGCACGCGGGGGCAGGCGCCTCGCCCTCCCAGCCGGCGCCCTGCGGCCTGGCCCTCGCGGCGCCCGCCGAGCAGCCGCCGTCCCAGCAAGCCGCGCTCGCCCTCCCCGAGGAGCACCCGCGGTCGTCGTCGTCGTCGTCGTCGTCGTCGTCGTCGTCGTCGTCATCGTCGTCGTCCTCGTCCTCGTCCTCGTCCTCGTCGTCGTCGTCGTCGTTGTCGTCGTCGGCGTCGTCGGCGTCGTCCTCGTCCTCGTCGTCGTCGTCGTCGTCGACGTCCTCGTCGTCGACGTCCTCGTCCTTGTCGTCCTCGTCGTCGTCGTCGACGTCTTCGGTTTCGTCCGCCGTCGTCCGTCATCGTCGTCGGCCGCGCGCCACCGCAGGGCCCATGTCGGTCCGAGCGATCTGGCCGATGGCGCGGCTTCGACGGGCACTTGGACTCTGTCCCTGCCCTTGCCCTTTTCAGAATCTTTGCCCTTGCCGGTGTTGGCGGCGTGCACACGGGGGTAGGGGGAGGGGGAAGGCTCCTTTGAAGGACGCTGCTTCTAAGAAGCCTTCCCCCTGCCCCTATCTCCCTCTGCGCGCCGCCAACGGTGGCCTCTCCCTTCCGCTGGCCCTCTGGGGTCAGCAGTCTTCGGCGCTGGTCCCCAGAGCGGTCCCTGGGGCAGAGCGGCTTCTTCGCGGCGGCCGCTGGGCCTGTTGCCTCTGCAGGGTTCGGCGGGACACGGGCTGCGTCTGCATCCGTGCGGAAAACTCCTTCGAGGTCGTCAACTCTTTCAGGCCTCCTCCTCCCTCCTCCCTCCTCCTCCTCCTCCTCCTCCTCCTCCTCCTCCTCCTCCTCCTCCTCGGTCCCGATCAGCTGGTCGAAAGGCTCCTCTGGCTGAGCCCTGCCTGGCCGCCCGGCCGCGCCCTCCCAAAAGTTGCGCCCACTGCTGCCCCCTGGTCGAGGACTGCCTTGTGCTGTCCGTCGCG